TTGATAATGGCTCTGAATAATTCAGAATGTACTTCTGTGTTGAATCATTTAACACTATTTTGCTGAATCAGTCAGCACTGAATCATTCAGATGTACGAAACAAACAACCCCTAACTCTATAATTTATTAAATAAAATCTATTTTAGATTTAACTAATATTATAGTCCAGGTCAATCTTGCATAATTTATTTATTTATTTATTATCAAAAGAAGTTAATATATTAATTATTATGAGAAATTTGTTTTTATTATTAATATTAAGACTCTACAAGGAAGGAAGATAAACACTATCATATGACTTTTCAAGTGAAAAACATGTGTCTAATTAAGACGATATTTGGAGGGTGAGATAGCAATAAAGAAAAGAGTTATTTGCATCACGTCCTTAAATTATGACCTTCATTCTAAATTATTCCCTAATCTTTTAAATATTCTAATTTCATCCCTAAAATATGAATATCATTCTAAATTTGTCCTCATAATTCTGAACATTTCATTTTCATCCCCAAACTATGATCTTCATTCTAAATTGATCCCTAAACTTTTTGAACATTTTAATTTTATCCCAACTTATATGTATATACTAATCACATCCCTTGTTAATAAAATTGTTAGGCCAAATTATATTATTACATGTTTGAAAAAATAAAAATAGGTTAAACAATGATTGGAATGGATTACATATTTGGATGAAATTGGGGATAAAATTGTAAGATTCAAGAGTTTTGGTACCAATTCAACATGAGAGTCGTAGTTTAAGGATGAAATTGGATTGTTCAAAAGTTTAAAGACTAATTTAGAATGAGGCTCATAGTTTGATGATGAAATTTGAACTTTTAAAAGTTTAAGGACTAATTTGAAATGAGGGTCATAGTTTAGGGGCATATCATACAATTAACTCTAAAGAAAATGAGTCAAAGTAAACCAAAATATGTCTAGGTTTTTTTTTTATGTGTTGGGCTTCCGTTTAAGAGTAAATTTGAATTGGATCATGGAATGGCCGGTTTGAGTATTTAATGAATACTATTAGAATTGGGCTAGGGTACTTGCCCCCAAAATAAAGGTGCCACCAATTGGATTTGGAGCCTACATAATTTATTTTTAAATAAATTTTGTTATTATAATATTTTACTATATTTAAATTTATAAAAAAAACTAAATATAAATTTTAAAACAATCTAAAGTATATTTTACGCACTGGTTTTATCTTAGTGACAACAAATACGTATTACAGACACAATTAATTAAATTCAAAATTTTTAAAGAAAATAATATTTTTATCATTAAAATCATTAATGAATTCTATAAACATAGATTAATCGACAGTTATTGATTTTGAAATTATTTAAATAAAAAATAAAAAATATTTAAAATATCATTATTTTTATTTAAAACACTAATTTTTTTAATATTTTTGATAAAAATGTTAAACAATAATAAAAATATAGTGTCTAATAATATTTCAAATATTTTTTTTAAATTCGGTAAAACACCCAATAATAACAAATCGATAGCATCTAATAATATTTCGTATCATCTTTTACCTATTTTATTATTTAAACAATACCATAAAATTAATAAAAATATTTAAAATATCATTATTTTTATTTAAAACACTAATTTTTTTAATATTTTGATAAAAATGTTAAACAATAAAAAAATATAGTGTCTAATATTTCAAATTTTTTTTTAAATTCGGTAAAACACCCAATAATAACAAATCGATAGCGTCTAATAATATTTCGGATCATCTTTACCTATTTTTAAAAATAACAACACCTTACAATACACACAATCTAAAAAAGAAAAAACAATAAATTGTAGATACACGTACACTGCTCTCCTGTGGTAGGCCTCAGATGCTTACAATGCACTACTTTTGAATCTAGGCCGTTGGATCTCTGACACAACCTCTGATCAATATACATGTAGGATTGTAGGCTAGTAAACTAAAAGCTAAAAGCCCCACTCTCTCCTTACAGTCCCAGTTCATCACTTGGTTTATGTCTGGTTCGAAGGCTTGGTTTTTGTTTTTTGGTTTCTTTGGCGGGTGTCTGGGTTCTTTTCGGGGTTGAAGTTAAGAGCTTTGTATTGGTTTCGAAAGATTGAAGCTTTCACTCAAATGGCCATTTTCTTGCTGCTTTTGCTTGTCTCGGCTGTTTCTGCTTCTGATGAAAGTAAGTCTCTTTGAAGCTGTATATGCTTTCATATATGTGTATGCCACCATGTTTGTCTCTGTTTTTTTTTCTGGTTTACCTTCATTTTCTTGAAAGCAAGTCTTTTTCTCATCGTTGGAAACTCTTCTTCTGTTCTTTCCTTTCACCATGGGAATCTCAGCTAGTAATGCATTATTCTCTAGGGACCAAAATGACCTCATGGAAGGCCACCAACTTCCAAGTGTTGGAAGCTGTGGCATCTTAGGGATATGTTTATTTGAGGGTAGTATTGTCATCTTTTATGGTGTGAAGTTAACATCTTTGTCTAGCTGGTCCCGTATATAATATGTAGAGTCTCATCACCTTCCTGAGTATTTTCTTGTAATGAAATAATATAGTAAGATGTGTTCTCAGTTCATGTGCTTTGTTATTATCATGATGGATGATGCTATGCCATGTCTGATGTCTTGTCAGTTTAACTGATGTTCGATTCCTTAGTTGTATGGCGTGATATGTTACCCACCCTTGACCTACTTTGATTTAATATTAAAAAGTTAGCTCCAAAATCAACATTTTTGCTTCTGTCTACCAAGAGAAAAGAAAGGGACGATCCGAAAATGACTCGGTAACCTTCGAATTAAAGCTTACTGCTGAAGAAAACATGGATTGTCTGAGAGATTATATCTGTTGAATGCCGATTTTAAGTTCGAAATTCATCTTGAACTTTATGTAGAAACCTTTAAGACACTGCTCGAATATGATGAAGTATTATTAGCCTTCTAAAAGTTGCAATGACTAGATGAAAGTTGATCGCTATGAAATTTAACATTCTATTTGTGATATTATGAACAGTATTCGTTTGTCGATATTCTATTATCGAGATGGAAGGCCTTTTAGTTTCAAGGGATAACTTGTCTTAGCGTCGGTCTATGGAACTTCCTGTGCAGAAGCCTTCGTTGGTGTGAACATTGGGACAGACCTTTCTGATGTGCCCAGCCCTACTCAAGTGGTGGCCCTTCTCAAATCTCAGAATGTCCGGCATGTGAGACTTTACGATGCCGATCGAGCTATGCTTCTCGCACTTGCTAACACAGGCATCCAAGTGATTGTCTCGGTCCCCAATGAGCTGCTCGTTGGTATCGGTCAATCGAATGCCACTGCAGCCAACTGGGTGGCTCGCAATATTATAGCCCATGTCCCTGCCACCAACATAACGGCAATAGCTGTTGGTTCCGAAGTCCTAACTACACTCCCGAATGCCGCTCCGGTCCTCGTTTCTGCCTTGAAGTTCATCCACTCTGCACTTGGTGCTTCTAATCTCGACAGTCAAATAAAAGTCTCTACTCCGCATTCGTCTTCGATTATCCTGGACTCCTTTCCACCTTCTCAAGCTTTTTTTAACCGTTCATTGGATCCTTTCATGGTTCCATTGCTAAAGTTTTTGCAGTCTACCGGGTCGTACCTTGTGCTCAACGTATATCCATATGATGATTACATGCAATCAGATGGCGTGATCCCATTAGACTATGCACTTTTCCGTTCTCTCCCGCCGAACAAAGAAGCCATGGATGCTAACCACTCCTGCATTACACTAACGTCTTTATGCTATTGTTGATGCAGCATATTTTTCGATGTCTTACTTAAACATCACAAATGTTCCGATCATAGTAACTGAGTCTGGTTGGCCTTCTAAGGGTGATTCATCGGAGCCTGATGCTACAGTTGAAAGGCAAATACATACAACAGTAACTTGATCAAGCATGTAATTAACAACACTGGGACTCCTAAACACCCCGGGATCACTGTTAGTGCTTACATTTATGAACTTTACAATGAGGATTTGAGACCCGGGCTGGCCTCGGAACAGAATTGGGGGCTATTTGATGCCAACGGAGTACCTGTTTATGCTTTACACTTGAGTGGTGGTGGCACTGTTTTTGCAAATGACACTACGAACCAAGCTTTTTGTGTCGCGAAAGAGGGTGCTGATCTGAAGATGTTGCAAGCAGCTCTTGATTGGGCTTGTGGACCAGGGAAAGTTGATTGCTCACCTTTGCTGCAGGGGAAACCGTGTTATGAGCCCGATAATGTGGTCTCCCATTCAACTTATGCTTTCAATGCTTATTTTCAGCTGATGGGGAAGTCGATCGGAACCTGTGATTTCAAGGGGGTGGCTACCATCACTACAACTGATCCAAGTATGTGACTATAATTTTGTTCTTATAGAATAAGTCTACCAGAACCTATTGACTTACTAATGCTGTCCATTGGTGCAGGTCACGGTTCCTGCGTATTTCCTGGAAGGTATGTATAGATTCTCCTTATCATTATCATCATATGTGATGCCTTTGATGAAATCTGATTGTAATATAACTTCAATTTTGACTGTAGTTTCGGGAAAAACGGCACCATAACTAACGGCACATCACTGGCTCCTTCATCGAATGACATAAGTTCAGGCTGCACACCGCATTATTTCTATGTGAGTGATTCACTAACCTCCTTTGTGATTATAGGTGCCTGCGTTTTCCTTGTCACTGTTGTTTTCTTGTAGTACTTGATTGTACTTTATCCCAAGGTTTTAACCGCATTCAAATTTATCGAAAAATTTCGGATTCCATCTCTGTGGAATTGAGTCGAAGGTTGCCAATTTAACTGAACATATCGATGGCAAGTAATTCTTTAGACCAAGTTAGTTCATTGTCATTGGATTATTGTACAAAAAACCAAGAGATTGTTTCAAGATAGTTGATTTGAAAGTGTTCATTGATGTTATTTCTTTTTGAGTAGCTAAAGACATATATCTCATGTTCAAATTATATATATTTCTTCCGTTTCGGGTTAGGGGCCGTGTGGTAACTCGGCTCTGGGATAGATTTATTCAAAGATCATCGTATTTATCATGACAAACGCTGCAAACCCACCCTATCGAACCGGTCGACATTAACTTCATGTTGCTATGTTGGTTACAACATGGTTTATTACAGAAATTACATTTGGAAAGCTGAATCCAACAATCTGAGCAAAGGGTATCAGCACAAACAGTCTCTTCCAAGTCTTCATTTTCAACACACTTCCCGCATTCTTCACACCTCGGAACGCAAAACACGCACATCCGACAACTGGTTATTGAATCGTATCGCTCCTTTTGCAATCCTCCTAGGACAATCGAAAAGAACCCGTACTTCGTTGCACTTGGGACATATTTCCACATCAATAACCCTGCCATGTTCTTCCCATCTGTATGCTTGAAACTTTCTGTAATTATGATATAGCAAAGGCTGTCTCCTTGGCTGAACCAGCTGCAGTTTCGGTTTTGTTTGAAGGTAATATTGAATCCTTTCGAGATGTTCTTTCTTCATGTTGGCGATGCCGTTTACCTGAAGGCTTTTTAGGCTGTGTTGGCAATCAGATAGCTTCTGTACTGCTGTTATTACTCCATTAGGGGTCAAACCAGTGCAACCTGGTATATGCAGCTGAAGCAACACAGAGAAAGACAACAAAATATAATACTCATCGTTTTGAACCACTCATATATAAGAAAAAAGGGAAACTAATCCCAGCCTTTGAAATCCTATCCATTTAAAGGATCAAATTTAATACCTTACTGATATGAGGGTTATGGTCGATGACCCTTTGAAGCCCATCATCTGTAATTTTGGCACAGAACATGAGAGTCAATGTTTTTAGCCTACCATTTGCCTTGGAAGCAATTTTCATCAGAATCTCATCCGATAACCGAAAGTTGAGCGGCTTTTCGACGATTATGTTTAGCCATGGCAGTACGTCGTTTTCCACTGCTTCTTGCAGCGACCTGCAAACTCGACTCATGGAAAGAAGCTCAAATAATGGAAGGTACGCCAAGACAATAAACAAAGCATCATGGGGTAACCCTGAAGAACTGGATTCCTCATGTGAAAGGGGAGCAAGTTCCATGGTTCCTACAATCTCCATTTTAGTTTGGATTTATATAGAAATTGTTATCCTTAACAAAGAAGTAATCAAAATGAAGATGTTGACAGGAAGGGATTCTACTGTAATAAGTCGGCTCGAGTTTGTCAACATATGTTATCCATTTAGATTTCTTGTCCTCGAAGGATTTGCTTTCCTCCATAGATACCTTTTCCATGTTAGTTAACATCTATTGGGTTCTCTGCTAAGAGCAAGAAATTGACAAAACCTATCATTCATTTATACTTCGCAAATACAACATGAATGTTGAAGAATCAACGACAGACATGTTTATCAGTTCTGCACTCCGTAGTTGTACATGTAACTTCAAAATGGAATTGTTACCAACATAAGAACACTCGAATCCGTAGAAATCATCAACTTTCTAAGGGCTCGACGGCTGTCTTGAAGAGAAGGATGTAAATCTTGTCGATCGAAAAATACAAAAAACCTCCTAGTGAATGTGTCACGTACGAGCCAAAGCTAGTTCCGACGATGCTGAGTCAAATTCCTGAGAATCAAAGATCACACGAACTAGTATGACAAAAACAGTAGGTGATCAAATTCTATGAAAAAGTAAAGCTTGACAATAATGAATCAAAGCTGATATAAGCTGCATCTTCTTGCAGTTGGAATAAGTGCTTAAGCAATGTGGTTTAAAGCAACATAAAACACTGGAATTCATAAGAACATTTACAAGCAGGATAACAAACCAAAAAGGAATAAATCATAAATGTCTTCAGTTAAACTGGAACTAAGAAAGGCAAAATTTGGCTTGGATAACTAGAAAAAGAAAACTTCCATCCTACTCTCACTAGAATTCCTATGAACCAAAGTAAAGCTAATTTATCCAACATGCAAAAGTTAAAACTGTGTCAACTAAAGCAATCGAATGAGAAATCTAAACAAACCCAAAACAAGAATCTAACAGACGATCACTGTAACAGGAAGATGGAGAAGAAAAGTCTGATTCTTTTAACCTTCTTAAGGGCAAGAGCTAGGCGTTTCCAGGCATATAGTCAAGCTGGTCTCGGGCACATTTAAAAGTATTGTTTTGAAGAGCTAAAGGCATATCAGAAGCTCTGACTTTAACATTAAGACGTTCAGTTTGCTCTTGTTGTTCTATAGCTTTCTTCTTTTGAATCAAACTGCTCAAGAACTTGCTCTCCTCTTTAACTCCAACTCCGCTCCATCCATTTTTCCTATCTCTTTCTTCAATTCCCCGACAATATAAGAAATACCCAGAAAATGTAAAAGATCAATGAAGCTAAACAACAAACCAAATTAAAAAAAAAGGTTCCTTGATTTGCCAATCGGCACCGCTATGCGTGCCACTCGTTTGATAAAAAGCCTTAAAGGTGACAAAAGAGAGGTAAATGCATTAAAAGAACAAAGCTATGAACGTTATAGAAATACATCTACGTAAAATATTTGGTTTTTCAAATTTGTTGGGCTTGGGGTTGAGGAAACATAAGGAACTAAAATATAGTAGTGATTGGAAAGCGGGAAATGAAGTAATGGAAAATGATGCCCTGCTCCTGCTCGAGCATTTTTCATCATTGTCTTTATAAGTATCACTTCTGTCTTTTGTTTTCTTTTTTTGAAACAAAACTTACGAGTGTACTACTATCTTTGATTTGACAATTTCAGGAAAAGAAAAAAGAAACAGGCAAGATGCCGAATCAATGGCATTTCTCAAGGTTATTTGGTTGGAGGCAGACAAGCGTTAATCACCGGTGTCAAAAGAAGAGTCTGATCTGATGGTTCCCCGACCAACACTCGAGAGTAAAGACGAGACGTGACACTAGTTCCTCGTGTCGTCTTCGTCCTCTATGCAAGTGTAAAGAGAGAGTTTCAGTGCTCCCTAACTTTGCTTCACCTAATCAGCTAAACCTCATGGCTTGACATGACCGTCCACTTGCTTTTACTGTATCAGCGTCGATCAATCGACAGCGTGTAGTTTAACTTATATACAAAATAAACAGAATCGTAAACATCAATCAGTTTGAACGTCGAATGTAACATGTTAAGGTTTGCTATAATAATCAACTGGTGATTAATCAACGTGATGTTGTCTTATCTGTTACGAATCATTGAGTATTGTGTCATCCACAGACACCAGGAGATAAACTAATTACTACCAAATTTTCCAACAAACAAGGATGAATCTGATTCCGACTGAACAAATCTTTCATAAACCAAAAGTCTCTTAGTTTTCTCAAACCAGGAGATAAACACACAATTGTTTCTTATCAGGTCTCGATTTATGCAATACCACACTGACAAACCCTCAAAACAAAACAGTAGTGATATAAATCCAAGATAAATTACACTGGCATCACAATTAACAATATAAATTGTATATATATATATATGGTGGACACTCAGATAATATAAATTAGTACTAGTGGTACTTTAACAAGATGTTCATTTGACGTCTTCTTCGGCTCATGCCATCTTCCACCACCGGTGGCATCGCAGTCATTGCCACTTCACGACTCTGCTTTTCCATGTTCCCATGCCATCCTACACGAATAAATGGTTTCCGATTCCGATAAATTTATATATATTTGATGCACTAACGATGTATACGATAAATAACAGAGGATTAATTACCAATGGATAAATCGTAGCCGCGGGCTTGAAGCTCGCGGTACTCTTGGCACAAGGCGCAGTACTCGCAGAAGCAATGGACGAGGCAATCGCCGCAGGGGTGTTTCTTGAGCATGTGCTGTTGCCTCATTTTGGCTCGGTAAAAGCACGAGTAGCAACACGAGCAGCCGGTCACGCATGCTATCAAGGTGTAGAGTGCTCCGTTCACCCACATGCTGTTCCATTGAAAACAAGTTAAAAGTTTATTCAGATTCAGAATATTTGGTGGCTGTGGGTTCAACTTACATGATGACCTTTGTCTACTATCTCTGCAATCTGACCAAAAGTTACGCAGGGCACCAACATGTGATGCAACCTGCAAAACAAAACACGTACAAATTTGTTCAGCTGCAGCGCGTGAATGAAAGCGCCGCCGTAACCCTCCATTTTGGTTGCAAATAAGAGTTGACTTACAGTTTCTCCAGTCAGAGAAGCAGTCGCATAGCCCCGAAGACCAAGGGACTCGAGTTTTGGTCTGAGAACTGTCGGTGTAGTATTGGTTTGAGGAGCTGACCGGAACTCCAGTTGTGGCAGCTTCTGGGCCGAGCTTCTGTGGTGCTGACGGCGGAGCTGAAAACTTTTCGTACCCACTTGAGTTGAAGGACGCCATGGCTAAAGCTTTGTTCAGTAGAATACAAAACAAAAGCTATAGAATGCAAATTCAGGGAAATTAGATGGAATTTTCCTGGAAATTAGACAAGAATTTGGATGAATATATACATACTGAGAAAATAATAATGTATAATAATAGCTAAGATAAGTCAACAAGGGGTGGATGTTAGTGGAACAAGTCAAGTTTGGCGCTTGTTTATCACGCACTTTCACTTTGCGGGGGTAATTGAAGGAACCGCGTGAATCGTATACACGTGGCACTTTTTTATTTGAAACAGAGCTTGAACTTATCTGAATGGTTTTATTGGTTTTTTTTTAGAAAATCATATTAGATAGTTAATGTAGTGATTTTCAAATTTAGTTTTGGGGTCAAAAAGTATTTTATATTATTATAAAATTATTTATAATAATTTACTAAATTTACGGTAAATACAAAATAGCATATATTTAAAAAAAAATTAACTATTTTGATAATAAACGTTCAAATTCTTGACATAAATAATGATTAAACTCGGTATCTCAAGAGATAAAAATAATTTTTAACTATTAAAATTGTTTGATTTTTACCTAATTAAAAAATTTAATAATAAAATAACTATTTAAACATAATTTAATAATTGTCATTAAATTATATCCAACATCATATAATCTTGTATTCAATATTTTATTTTATTTATCCTTTTATATGAATAATTAGAAAACATAATATAGTTTCACAAAAATCCTTATTATTAGTTGGACTTATATTATTTAAAAAGCAAACAAAAAAAAAACTGAATTTCAAGGGCATAATTAGACTATTTCAGAAACAAAGTCAATTTCTTTTATCATCTCTTGATTAAGTGATCGAGTCATAACTAAATATTGTCAGTGGCCAAAATATTAAATTATTTAAAAATATAAATATTTATTAGATATTTAAAATTAAAATTAAGCACGAACCGAATAACTTCAATGATTAAGAGATTGTTATTATCCTTGAGGTCTTGAGTTCAAGCACTGCACATGTAGGAGTTGAGCGTTCATTGTCAAATAGATGAAAGTCTTTGTACATATATTATCGTGTACACACCCTAGATTTATATAAAGAAACTCAAAATTCATAAGATAACTCCTAATTTGTCTAATATTTAAACTTGTAATGACCTAAATTGTTTAGATCAAAAATTTGAGAACATGGGGTTATCATTCTTTAGTTCGATCCTTACCTAATTACATTCAATAAATTCTTATATTTTTAATTTAAATATTTATTTTTACATGAATTAAAATACATTAGACCAAAATATATCGAATATACAAATTTTAACCGGGCCGGAACCTCTTTGGGCCCTCCGCCCTGTCTTGATTGCAAAAGGAAGTGGAATCCATAGGAGCTTCCATTAAAGAAGGTAATTTAGTTTCCATTATTATGCTTAAATAGTGTTTAAGCTCAAATTACTTCAAAAAATAAATCAAGTTCATTTCAAAATTATATATTTATTTATGTATTTAGTGTGCTGAAAATCAAATAATTTATAGGGGATTTGAATATCCTAGCAGCAATCACAGAGTCCGGTCGACCAAAGGACTTCCCCGGCGGCGTGCATCCGTGCATGTAATAATTTTGCAGAGGAAAAACATAATAGTTTACGTTAGTGGGACGAATCTATTATTAAATATACAAATATATATTGAAACCAGCTTCAGTATATAATAATAACCAAACTCACGTCAACATTACATAAAATAATTGCACTCTCTCTTCAAACCCAGAAGCTTCTCTCTCTCTCTCTCTCTCTCTTTTTTTTCTTTTCATGCCGGTTTCCATAACTGGAGCCGATGACATTTGCTCATCTTGGTTTTGTTGCCTCGCCATGTTTCCATGCCATCCTGCATATTCCAAACAAAAAACAAAATGCACATTAAAAACCATGGGATCGAGTGAATTTAATGCATACGATTGCAAACTATAGTGTAAAATTTTATGTGATTTTTCGATAGTGTAATGAATGACTACCGATGGTCATGTCGAAGCCACGGTTCTTGATCTCGCGATATTCCTGGCACAGTGCGCATCTCTCGCACCAGTAATGTACGAGGCAATCGTTGCAGGGTCGGTCTTCCAACATGTATTGCCTCCTCATTCTTTGCCGATAGAAGCAGGAGTAGATACATGCACACCCCGTGAGTAGTCCGATTAATGCGTACAGTGCTCCGCTTGCTCCACATGCTGCCAATTATTTCGAAGTCAACCGATTTACGGTTTAAGATTTTGGGTATAGAGTTTAGGGCTTACATGTTGATCCTTGGTCGAGGATCTCAGCAATTTGTCCGAAGGTGATGCAAGGACAACAGCATGTGATCCAAGCTATAGGATCCAAGTAAATCAAACAACATTGAGCCATCAGTTGGAAAGAAATAAAAGAGAAGATCATGATAGGTTTATTTGAAAGGAAAAGCTTTACTGTTGGAAACATCGGAGCCGCAGTCGAAGAGGCCCGTCGACCAAGGGACCGGCTCCCCCGGTTGCTGCATACGATATTGCTGGTTCATTGAGTCGACGGGAACACCGGTTGCTGGTTGGTTTGTGTACATGGTGAAGCCCTCATGCGTTCTTTCAGAGTTATTGCAAATAAGAAAATGAAAAATCGTTGAGGGCTTCAAGGGAAATGAAATGGTGGGTCTACATTTATATAAGTGAAACCACGGGAAAGGAAATATCATAAGAATCTTCACAAGTTTTACGAGTCAACTCAGCTTCCGTGAAGATTTCCATTAATACCGATCCGAAGCATCAGTTAGCGCTTATAGACCGAGTCTTCGTTAACCAAACCAAGGAAACCGGTAAACGTGATGACCATATTATGAGCTAATTTTAAGCATAAAATAGATGAAAACAATGAGATTTTTCTACTAAATTTCCACTGAGCCGTCAATCATATCACCTACCGAAATGAGATACTAAATTTTTTAAGTAAAATCATGTATTCAAACCCTAACGTTTACGAATATAATGAATTGCGTTAAGAGGATCATACTCGTCTATGTAGTATCAGATCTAATTTAATCGGTCAATAAATTAAATATCATTGATTAATTAAAATAAATTACGTTGAACTCGACAAAGCCAGTTGCAGTAAGCCGCCACCGGTGAAACCAAAGTGCCAATAATTAACACGTGTATGCCATCGTTTAAAATAGGCTCTTTGTTTTGATCATCACATGGCCAGCTCAGTCGTAAACTCATGAGTTACCCCGAAACCTGAAACATTTTCTGGTCAAATTTAGTTCTGGACACAGTTTTTCTATTAGGACGATAAATTTATGAAATTTTATAAAATGTACAAAAAAATTTTAAATGAAAATTTAAAAAAAATTAAAGGGTAATTTACGTATTTAGAAAACTATCAGTTTTGGCCTATTTTAGTGCATAAAATTTCAGTTCGTTTCAAAACATAACGTTAATTTTTTAACGGTACTAAATGAAACAAAAGCTAAACGTTATGTATGATTTTAAAAAACTAAAGTTTATGTACTAAATGAATCAAAACCGATTGTTCGAATACTAAATGTGTGATTTACCCAAAATTAAATTATAAGAAAATTTAAAACTTTTAAAATTTATTATCTCATCACTTCTCTATCTTTAATCGTAGCAGATCAGAAAATAATTATATTAAAATATTTTATGATATTCGTATACAAATGGCTGATCATACGTTCACGGTCGAATATCCCAAACCTAAAGGATTTTGAGAAAGTGAGAGACGGCTGAAAAATTGGTAGTTCTATTGTACGACAACCTAATATAAGATTAAGGAAAGACACTACGAAAATGTTAATGTTTTTTAATATTTTCGGAAGAGCGCTACCTAAAATGTTTTTTTAAAATAAATTAAAAATTAAATTCATGACTTTTATGGTTAAAGGGATAATACTATTCTTAGAGATTCTTTATTCGAGCATCAGTGACTACAGAATATTTACGTGTTCAATGTCAAATGGTTGGCAGTCTATAAAACATACGTACTCTCAATCACCTAGTTAATAAAAAAGAGCAAGCACATTGACCGGTTGACCAAACTGTTTCCTCACATTTCTTTAGGTCATGAGTCCTACCCTATTAAGAACACTACTGCATTCCTTTAAAGTCTTCCTTCTCCTCCTGTGTAGATAAGTTTAGGATTGGATTTAGAACTCGTCAAAAAGATTAATAAAAACAAAATTGTAGAAAGTAAATTTAAACAATAAGGACGTTAGGCCCAAAAGGTTGAAATGGAGAGGTATGCATTGGAGTGCCCTCTAACGTGCATAAACACCCGTTATTTATAGCCCTATGCGCTAACCCTTAATATCTTTGGGTTTTAAATTTGGAATTTTCAGCCATTCAGTTGGTTTGGATAATTATACAAGTAACGTGGAGGTAAGTTACAACTAAATGATAATTATAATATATCATTTAATTAATTTTTAAATTAACAACAATAACAAAACCCTATTCCCATATACAATGGGATAAAGGAGAGGTAGGTAGTAGCTGCTCTCAACGCCAGGTTGAGAGCAGCTTTCGTGGAAGACCTCCGGCAGTCAGAAAATTTAAAACTAAAAATAAATGCATGCATATAAATAATAATACATAGTTAAACAGTCTTCATATGAAGTCTTCATATACCGTGTCTGTAATGGGAAGTAATCCCTGCAAAATAAATCCCTGCGTAAAAATCTCTGCATATAACATAAACGTAAGATCCGACTAAATTTTTAAATTAAAATTATTATAAAGTATTATTTGCTAAAATAATTCAGTCATGAATGACGTAAATACAATTACTCGATAGAACATTTCTATTGCTAAGATCACTTTTACCACTGAAATCGCTCAATAGATTTATTATTTAATTAAATTAAAATTAATTAATGATAACCTTTGAGATTAGCAAAGGCTTTAGCCCCTCATTCACGGAGTCAAATTCTCCCGGTTCCTTTTGAAGACAATGATGCGGTGGGCCACAATTTTGTAATAACATCATCCAACATAGATAAAAAAAACACGACCAATATTAATAATAACAAGAAATTAGTGTGGACAAAGGCTTCCTACCTCTTTAGATTCACTTACAAAGCTAGAATTTTTATGTCCCCCCCCCCCCAAAGAAAGGTTCTTAACTTTAGCTTAATAGATTCAATTGCGCCGATGGGTCCGTAAAACATCATTTGCCTCTTTTTCGCCCCCCCCCCTTTAACCCTAACAATATATAGTTTTGCTCGTGCCAAAAAACTTCCTACTTGGTCCTTGGTCGCTCTGTATAATAAAACTTCTTTTTTCATAATCTTTGGGATGTGGTGGGAAGCTATGTATTTGAAAAAGCTTAAACATTTTACATGTAGGGTTGTAAACGAGTAGAGTCGATTTCGAATATTGTTGAATTCAATTCGACTTGAAAACTTTAAAATGGAGCTAGGCTCGAACTTGAAATCATGAATTCAAGTTAAAAAAGCTCGTCAAAGTTTGAAGTAAAAAAAAATCTTGAACTTAACTCAGTTGAAACTCAAATTCAAACTTAAACCTAAAAATTAAGTACGTGAACACCTTCTGCTGCATTTTTAAAAGATTAACACATAAATGTTAATTTTATTAATAATTTATTTTTTAAAAAAAATAAAATTTTAATATATAATCTCTTCGATTTGTCGGCGAGCTTTTCAAGTCGAGTATTAAGTAACTCGTTTTGGATCGTTAAGAACTCGAGTATTTATCGAGCGTTGATCGAATCGATCTCGAATAACTCACGATCTGTCTCGTCTCGTTTACAACCTTAATCACACGTTAGGTATTAGCCCTAACATGGCTGACTCATGTAGGACTTATATAGGGACTTAGAAATGTCAGATGAGGAGATTGTGAATGGGTTGGGTATATTAGCCCTAAAACCCACTAAGCAGAGTCACCCCTCCACTCTCGAAAGCAAGAGAATCAATCTGGGAGAAAATGGTTGTGTCGGGCCCTACAGTCGGTTAAAGCCACCGCAAATAGTGCACGCTTCGCTGTGGCAGTGGGGCAAGGAATAATAATCACCATTTGCCATTGCCATCGCGTCTTCAAAAGTTCTTTCTTTTTTAAGCTACCCTAGCGAATCTACTAACCCACCCTCCCCGGCATAATATAAATAACCTTGACGATGATTTGCAACGAAAATGTCACGAGATTAAATGAAAGAGTACATCACATCTTAGATCACATTGAAATAGTACGTTTGTATATTTAAATTTGTAATTTAAAAATTCTCACTCAACACGTTAACGTCACTTTGATTTATTTTTATTAAAATAAATAAATTAACGATAAAATTAACTTCAAGCTAAAGGCCTCTTTTATAGCATCGTATTATTATATAATAGAAGCATTTTAATTGCTTAAATAAATCTACAATTTGGCTTTGACGATTAGGTTGCAAGCCACAATGTTGTGTTATGGTCCATCAACAGTGGACGTGCTTTGTGAGCCACTTGCATGTTTTTGTTAATATATATTTTTTAATTTAAATATTTAATTAAATTTATTTTTTTAATATTTTATCCTGAATTGGTTTGTAGTCCATGCTTAGACCCGATGTCGACTTATTGGTCGAGTGCTTGGTGGATGCACCGCCTCCAAGCAGCCGCTATTTTTAAAGTCAGATATGCTTTAAGCGCTATTTTTCTTCGAACGCTGCGGTTTCACACTTGCACGCGCCACTTCTCCTTGTCTCTACTAGTTAAGCGCTTTTAACTTTCGTTGCTTTTAATTGGTTAATAAATAAATAAAAATAATCAAATTAATTTTATAAATTAATATTTTCAATAAAATAGGAGCATCTAATGTTTTGATCAAGAACAAATACAATTTCATGGATTTTGTACCATATTCATCCTAATTAAAGTGGAGACAGATGTAAAAATCATATCTATCATGAGTAGTGAGTAATTGACGGATTCGAGACCCCACTATCCTGCATCCGTTCGTCATGCATCTGTCTACTTACTAACTATCCACTATATATATTTTGAATCATTATGAATTTAAGTAATTTCAAAAACTATGATATAAATCTTAAGATTTTATAATACGTGGCCTTTAATTCAACCAAATGTTATAATATAAATATTTTTAGAACTGAATATTGTTGTTTCTCCTATCACAAATTGGAGAGCATGAACGTATACATATGGATACGAGATGAATGATAGGTATTTCTAATTAAATAATGAGTATAAGCATATTGATTTGAGAATATATCCACAAGAATGAATATGAATTTAAAATTTTATCCATTATAAATGGTATGTAAGTGATAGATATAAAAATATTATGTGTATAAAGATGGGGAAGAGATGTATGCATCTACTCTGCCGTTTGCCATCCTAATCAAGGGTATTCGCCAATATCGAACAACAATGGCATCCTTGAAAATACACTAAATAATAACGGGGTAAGTATGTAAAAGAACATCCACTCACGAGTCTACAAAACCAGAACCACTGTCCACACTCACTCATCCCTAAAGCAATCGCCTTCCCTTCCGCACAGCAACACGGATCCCGAAATGACTTCTTCTTCTTCTTCGTAAAAAAAAAAAACCGTTAAAATAACCATAGCCATGATGAA